AGCGACAAATCTTTCTTTCTTGTCCGGGACAGTAAAACCTTCAGGTTGTTGCATGTAAATCTCTTCCTCTAAGTCACCGTTTAAGAATACAGTTTTTACATCCATTTGATGGATTTCTAAACCCTTCAATGCAGCTATTGCCAATAGCATTCGAATTGAAGTTATTCTTGTAAGCGGAGAGTAGACATCGAAGTAGTCACCTTCTCCCTTTTGGTTGTATCCTTTGGCAACAAATCGAGCTTTGTACTTCTCAATTGTTCCATCACTTCTTCTTTTCTTTTTGAAGATCCATTTACATCCTAGAGGTTTAGACCCAGGAGGTAAATCTACAACTTTCCAAACGTGATTAGACATGATGGAATCAATTTCACTCTTGATAGCCTCTTGCCATTGTGTAGCGTCTGGTGAGGACATGGCTTCCTTATAAGTTTGAGGCTCATCATCTAGAAGGTATACAACAAAATCGGGTCCAAAATCTTTTGATTTTCTAGCCCTTTTGTTGCGCCCCCTTCACATTCTTGCGCTATTTCGTTGTTATCTTTCATAGAATCAAAAGGCCTCTTATGTGAGTTTGTTTCTTCGACATGGGTTGGAATGAAAACATCCATGTCGGAGGAGACAACTTCACAATCTCCTTTGAAAGGGAATACATTCTTAAAGAATGTAGCGTCTCTAGATTCTATAAAAGTATCGGCCACTGTATCCATGTTATGGAATTTGTGGACAAGAAAACGATATGCACTACTATTTTGTGCATATCCAACAAAGACACAATCAATGGTCTTTGATCCAAGTTTTGTCCTCTTAGGTTTGGGAATAGCTACTTTAGCTAGACATCCCCACACCTTCAAGTAATTAAAACTTGGCTTGCGCCCTTTCCATAACTCATATGGAATTTTGAGAGTTTTCTTGTGAGACATTCTATTTAGAATGTAGTTGGCACTTGGCAGCTAAAATAGCATCCCCCCACAAGTCGTTTGGTGCACGAGAACTTACTATCATGGCATTAACGATGTCCTTTAAAGTCCTATTCTTCCTTTCGGCTACTCCATTTGATTGGGGCGTATAAGGAGCGGTTACTTGATGAATAATTCCACTTTCCAAACAAATTGATTCAAATGGATATTCATACTCACCACCTCTATCACTCCTTAGTGCCTTAATCTTCTTACCAAGTTGATTTTCAACTTCGGCTTTATAATGCTTAAAAACATTAATCGCTTCATCTTTGCTTCTTAGCAAATACAGATAGCAATATCTAGTGATATCATCGATGAAGGTTATGAAATACCTTTTCCCACCTCTAGTTTCTTCATACTTAAGATCACATAGATCCGTATGTATGAGGTCTAGCGGTTCAGTTTCTCTTGTAATAGAGTGAAAAGGTTTTCTAGCCATTTTCGCTTCAACACAAATCTGACATTTGTGATTAGGATCAATATGACATTTAGGAAGCAACTCTAAATGCATTAGTCTACACAAAGTATCATAATTGACATGTCCTAATCTAGCATGCCTAACAGAAGATGACTCAATCAAGTAAGAAGAACCCACTTTATTATTATCAACAAGTTTGGGTACAATGGTAAGTACATTCATTTTGAAGAGACCATCATTTAGATAGCCCTTCCCTACAAATGCATCATTTTTAGTAAGTACAAATTTATCAGCCACAAAGACTAGCTTAAAGCCATTCTTGCTAAGGAGGGAGCCCGAAACTAGATTCTTGCGTATGTCAGGGACATCTAGCACATCGTTCAAGGTAAGAGTTTTCCCACTTGTCATTTTGAGGACAACTTTGTCGCGGCCTTCCGCTTTAGATGTAGAGGAGTTACCCATAAACAGTTGTTCCTCGTTACCAACTGGTTGATAATCGGTGAACATCCACTTGTTAGCACAAATATGTCGGGTAGCTCCAGTATCAATGCACTATTCTTTAGTGTTACCCACTAAATTGTATTGAGATACCATGGCACATAGGTTCATTTCAATCATGTCATCGGAGAGGTCCACAATATTGACTTGTCCGGTCTTCTTTTTCTTAGGAGCACGACAGTCCTTAGCACGGTTACCGGGCTTGCCACAATTATAGCATTTTTCTTTGAACTTCTTTGACGAAGGCTTCCCTCCACTTGTTCCTTCGCCACTGTGCTTTCTCTTCTTCCCCTTCTTCGATCCCGCTTCCACCATGTTCGCTTTAGCTTCCATGGAATTTGATCATCCAGCCTTATGCTCGGATTTGCGGTTATCTTACTCTATCCTTAAACGGACAATGAGCTCCTCTAGGGACATTTCCTTACGCTTATGCTTCAAGTAATTCTTGAAGTCTTTTCATTTGGGAGGTAACTTTTCAATTACCACAGCCACTTGGAAGGACTCACTAAGGGACATACCCTCAACTTGAATTTCATGAAGAATAAGTTGGATTTCTTCAACTTGAGAAACAACTGATTTGTGGTCAACCATTTTAAAGTTCAAGAAATGTCCGACAATAAATTTCTTTTTGCCGGCATCCTCGGTTTTGTATTTTTTCTCAAGTGATTCCCACAATTCTTTTGCCGCCTTTATATAGGCATACACAGAGTATAAGGAGTCATCTAGTCTGTTTAAGAGATAATTTCTACACAAGAAATCCGAATACTTCCACGCATCCACCGCAACCACTTTTTCCTTATCAGTCTCTCCTTCCTCTAGAAGAGGTTGGCTTTCGGAGAGATACTTAGCCAAATTCAACGTCGTTAAATAAAACAACATTTTTTGTTGCCAACGTTTGAAATCATGGCCGCTGAATTTGCTAGGTTTCTCCCCATGAGAAGAATTGACTGGGACAGTAGTGAGCGGGGATAATTTTGGAAAAGTAGTGTTTGATTCGTCACCCATTCTGTTTACACAAAACAGACGGACTCAAAGATTAAAATTATTGCTTTTGGACAACAAAAATTAAAAATAAAAGTCCGCGTTAAATATGCAAACAATATAACTTTAATCTATATAATTGTTAGAGACGAAATGATTAAAATGATGAGAACAAACTAAACCAGTAAAACAAAGTGGATATGCAATTCAAATATTCAGGTTGACGGTCAACACAGATGTAGAAGTTGAAATTATACTGAATTGAAACACATATGCAAACAAAGATATGCCAATAAATTAAAGAGATATGCTATGATGGATGAAATACGTAAAGCGACTTTTCGCAGAGTAGTGTCGATTAAAATATATGCAGGCTTCAAATATGATCATGCAATTAAAATTAAAGGAACACGTACAGGTAGTTAAATCAAATTGCGTATAAAACTTAATTGAAATCACAAAACAAATTGAAGAGGTGATTAGGACTTAAGGTACATGTAACTTACGTAAGATTTAAATGCACAAACTCACATACATGGACAAAATGATTACATACAACATTTTATGAAAGTGCAAGTGAAATTGTGAATAAAATGATTAGGCGTAATCAGTATGAATCAGTGCAATAACGACATACAGACAACGCAAGGCAGTAGCATGCAAAATAATATAAAACGTCTTAAGATTGTTATATGTGTGTATAATATTCTGCATGCAAATGAAATAACGAATAAATAATTAAGGAAAAAGCGTAAGATTACTTGTAACCGAGTCAACTTAAGCGTTGTTTCCTTAAGACATTTTTGCCCGACACACGTAGCAATCGTCTCCCAGGATAGAACGATTTATCGCTCCCAACGGGATTCCGACGAACTCAAAGATGCAACGAAGGAAGATAGTGTATATGGAGGATTGTGTGATGATATTCGGATACTTGAAAATGGTGGCAGTCATGGGTATATATAGAGCTCTAGCCAGGAGACTCTACACCCAAAAGACTCCTTTAGAAAGAAAGGTTGTGACCCTCCTTCTAAAAATAATGGATGTGTCTATTGCCAAACATTATCCAAAATTGAGAGCGACTAATAGAATTATCTTTAAGCCATATATTCGGGTAGACGGTTTAAGAATCTAACCCGAAAACCAACCCGACCCGACTGATTAACGGCGGCAGTGTGTGCGTGTTAAATATAATTCCACGCTTATCTTTCGGGGAACAATTTCTCATTCATTTCAAAATGGTTTTTACAAATAATATTAATGACCATAATATTAATTTGTAAACTCATTTTTCCAACAAGAAAATCATCCTCAACAACCTCAGACCTCGAACACATCTGACACTGAGGAATCAGATACACAGAACAATGACTTCGACACATCTCCTTCAAGAAGATACCAACGGAACAAGAATTATTAGATCAACGGGCTGAAACTAAAACTGCTGCTATCCCAAAGAGGACAAGTAATCTCATCAGATACAAGTCTGGGATCACTTTGCCGTAACTTTGTTGGGTTCTGCCCAACGCCACTACTTTGTTGCATTTCAATTACTTTCTGTCGCTTTTATTTACTCTCGTTTTTCTTGTTTTAATTTCCCGCTCGCATTGTACTCAAAAATTTTATTCAATAAAGTTCTCCTTTCTCCGCAAAAAAAGAGTGTAAAAACAGTACGGTAAGAAACTGTTACTCTGTTAGGGAAAAATGGGTAAGCAATAAATAAAATAGCAAAATACAACTACTAAAAGGAAAGTGCGAAAATAAATGTCACCGAATACTTTTCTTGTTAGAAAATTCAGCCACTTCTGGCAAATATCTCTTACCAAATATGCCTTGATTGCCTTCTATTGACTGCAATAGTATTCTTCATGTTTAGATGTTTATAGTTCTCCATTTGTTTGTTTCAAGTTCTCTACATGCTCTCCCTACTTGCTTATTACCGTACTCCCAAATCTATGTGAATCTCTTAATGTTTGTTTTACCTCTAACAAAAAAGATCATGTTTGTAATATTAATGTCAATATTAAAACGTGACTGTTTTGTTGGGTGACTGAAGGCATGCCATTTTCAACTTCAAAGTTGTACATTATAAAGTATAGCACTAACTTAAGATTCACATGGTGGTGATGATGTCAAACAAACAGGAGATAAGAATCACTTCAATAAACAATGGGGAAGCTGGAATGTAATGGCAGTGCTGATTGCTGGAAGTGGCAGAGGCGGCGGCGGGGGGTTGTTAGATAGGCCTGTAGTAGAGAAAACAACTCCTTCCCGTGAATCTGATATTGATTTGAGGTGTGTATACCACTTATTACTCTGATAAATTAGCCTGTGCCCTTTCACCTGATAATCGCTCTCAAATATCGTCCTTTCATGGCACATCTCATATCCATAGTTTTGTCTTCTTTTTCATTCGATTTTTCTGTGGGATGTTGGGGACATGTGAGTTTTGAAATTTCAGTTGGGGAATTAGATAGTAACAGTACAAGTATAGAATTCAAGCAATCGAAGCAGATCAAACTATTTGTCCTTTTTTATTATTGCATTGGTATAATTACTGAAGTTGTGTCCACATGTCATGATTATCATGAATTCATGATCAAGCCGTGCTTTCCACCTTGCTAGATGATTTTTATAACAGAAGTCTTGTAATGGGGCATGACTATAGCAACTACCCCAGCTCATCGTCCTCTCATGATATTTTCTGCAAATGAAAAAAACCTGTGATTAAGACTATCTTAAATTTTGTCTCATTATTCCTTTGTGATAAGGTCGCTACCCTGGAGAGCATTTGACCATTGATGTAGCCAAGGTTTCCCCAAAATCCACATTTGGTGTTGGCTAAAATTCATTACTTTATAAATTTATGTAGCAACAGGTTTATATGCAAAATAAATGTTTTTGTTCCAAACTTGGGACTGGTGATGCCCGAAGTCCCGGACCCCCACCTCCCACTATGCCTGGTCGCCAGGACAATAAGCGCAAAAAATTGCAACACTGATATGTTTTGCATGAATTATAACGGCAACAACCAAACCTTAGTCCCTAAATCATTGTGAGTGGTTGCATGGATCTATATATCTTCTCTTTGAGGTCCTCCCTGAAAACCTTACTAAGTCATAATAATGATTTCCCTAACATTTTTCATGTTCTAAATGGACCCTCAAGGTGCTGGTGATGGTTGCTAGTTTGTCTTTCTCAAAAGGAGAAGTAATAATTACTGAACCATGAGATGCTTTTCATTAATATTATGTACTCTGTTTTAATTTGGGTACAGAAAAGAAAGGAAAATGTCCCCATCATATTGGGTGATGTTGCATAATGACGATTACAATAGGAGGGAGTATGTGGTACAAGTGCTGATGAAGGTCATACCTGGGATGAGCCTCGACAAAGCTGTTAACATAATGCAAGAGGCGCATCACAATGGCCTCTCAGTCGTCATTACTTGTCCCCAAGTTGATGCAGAGCAGCATTGCATGCAGCTGAGAGGCAATGGCTTGCTGAGCTCAATTGAACCCGCTGCCGGTGCTTGTTGACTTTTAGTACAAATAAACTACTCTTACTAGCATTTTGTCTGTCTATATGTACATAGATCCGTTGAGACTTGATGAAAACCATATACTCCCTCCGCCCCCCCTAATATTGTAATATTGGTACGGAAGGGAGTGATGTGGTTTTTAAGAAAAGTAGAATTATGTGGTTGATAATGAGTTGATAAAGTGAGAATAAAGTGAGAATGAATTAGAGTCACACAAATGTTACCAAATATGGTATGAGACAATAATAAGGAGCATCCAAAATGAAAAAATGGGACAATTATAGGGGGGCGGATGGAGTATATCACTTCTTCCTATGAAAATGAAAACGATCCAAAGCGGTGCACATTATGGTTCACGGAGATACACATTTAGGATGTTTTTACTTGGATTGAAATTTTCTGATCTAGTCTGATCTGGTCTAAATTGGTCTAGTGTGGTTTGGTAAACGTCTGGTCTCTGTGTATTTTATAACTATCCAAATCTGATCTGATCTGATCTGATCTGGTCTGGGACTGAAAACAATCCAAGTAAAAACATCCTTATAGTTAAAATAGTGCTGATGGATAGTCTACCCGGGGGTATATATCCGAAGGGTTATTGCTGAGAATAACTTAGAGAGAAGTCAGAGCAAGTAAATGTAGAGAGAGAGAGTGTATTATAAATGTGGAGCGTTTTCAGCGTGGTTACAAATGGGGAAATGGGGTGCTATTTATAGTAGCAATAAATGCCGGGCAGGGACACGTGTCGAGCGCCTATTGGCTGAGGGGTCACCTCAACTGGTTGGCGTTGGCAGCCGCATGTGGCCGCATTTAATGCGGCTGTTGGATGGGACGTCTGTACAGGGTACGGTGATCTGTACGCATGTGAGGCAGATATCATGTCGGGAGAGGTGCCCTCGGCTGCAGAGGACTAGCCGAGGGCTCTTAGTGCTGAGGGCCCCTGAGTGCCGAGGGCTCCAGGTGCCGGGGCTACTGTTTTCGCCGTTTTCTCCCAGTTTCTTAGTTTGCCTGGAAAACCCATTCTGTGAGAGTTTTAGAGCCTTCGGCCAGGGGGCCGAGGGCACCCTTGGTGCGTATTGCGGGCTGCTTGGTACTCTGGGCGCCGTGATTTGGGCCTGTTGGGCCTCCTGGGCCTGTTGGGCCTTCATTGGTGTAGTAGGAGTCTGTGGGCCGGGTGTTCCCGGGCCATATACTCCATCAGGAGTCCCTCACTCCTTTTGCCGAAAGGTATTTGAGGGAAAAGGAGTAATTTGTGCTTGCCCTTTGATGTTGTCCTGTCGTGATCTCTGAAGTTGGTGAGGAGTTGTTGCTTTTATGTCCCTGTCGAAGGCAGTCCCTCAGTTACCCACATGTCGGGACTTGAGGGCTTGCTTTGTCGTTTGTTGGAATTTCACTAATTTTGTAATTTAATGATTTTTCCGAGGGGGTCCTCCAGTCCCCCACTCCTTGAGGCACTTGTAAAGTGGTAAAAAGGAGTAGAGTAGTTGCGTTGCTGTTGTGGGCCGAAGGCTGACGCTTTTCGTTTCATTTTGGGGGGATGCCTCGTTAAAAACCTCATTAGAAAAAACCCTGTGGGAAAAAATCCTAATGAGGGAAAAAGAGTGCACCGGATTCCCCCAATGATGAATCGAAAATGTCAAACCTTGGTCAAAAATGGAGAATAACGGTAATGCCGAAGGCTCTTCTTTTTCTGAGGGCTCATGTGTTGATTAGCCGAAGGCTTGCTGTTGATGTCCTGGGGGTGCCGAAGGGGAGCCCCTCAATCCGGGGATCGAGGGCCTGCTGGATGAGGGCAGCAGTGGAGTTGTTACCGGGGGGTCCACTGTTTGTTGATTAGTTGGTGATGAAGATACCCGAGGGCTCCCATTACCTGTGTGCCATGGGTTATCCGTCAATGAGGCAACTCCCCGGGGGCTACCCGGTTTTGCAGTGCTGAGGGGGAATCCCCGAGGGGTTCCCTGATATGAAGCCCTGGGTTTCTGAAGGAGTGATCCCGAAGGCGTCTGTTATGTGCTGTGTGGGGCACAACCCGGGGGCGTCTCTGGGTAAGTGTACCCGGAGGCTCTCCTTGACGAAGTGGAGTGAAGTAGAAAACCCGGGGGCTTCCAGAATATAGCCGTTGGAAATATAGCCGTTGGAATATGTAGCGTCAGATTTATAGTCGTTGGGGGGGGGGGGGGGTACACGTGGAGTGTAGCCGTTGGCTGCTCGTGGGCGGGCGTCACCGGTTGGGTGAAACGACGGTGCGTAATGATGGCTTTGGCTGCTGGGAGCCCGGATCTCGGCCCAAGCCCGGATCTGGGAGCCTATAAATACCCCAAGCCAGGGCCATTCCTCCTTTACGCATCCAACATCCCTAGCGAAGCTCTGCAAAAAATTCTAGAGAGAGAAACTCAAGCCTTCGGTCAAACTCCTTTCAAGGTCAGTGTCCCGCTTTCCCCTCAACACTTTTTGTAAGTTCCGCCCTCTGGCCTTAGATTAGGGTTAGGGTCCTGTAGAAATCCTTCGAAACCTTAGGCACATTTCGTGGCAAAGAATGTCGTCCGAGAGCGATTCCCAAAACATATCGGGGGACCCTTCGGTTGGTGAGGAGCACGTTTAAGATGCGGAGTCCGTGAGCGAGCCCTCGGTCGGTGCTGATGCCGCCCTGGCCCGGGAGGTCCAGAAGGAACTCATTGCTGAGGTCGAAGCCGAGGGCTTCGAGCAAGAGTGCGAGGATGAAGACCTAGCCCTCACATGGCAAGTAGCGGAGGATGAGGCGCAGAATGAGAGCACGAAGGTTACAATTGCTGTTCTCCCCCCCCCCCCCCCCCGGGGGGGGGGGTCTGGGGAAGCCAGTAGCTCGAGGCCGCTAGATCCGATACCTCTGAGGGCGGTTTCTCGGTTGAAGAAGAAGAAAGCGAAGGCCGCTACCAAGAAGAAGGAGAGGGCTGTCGATCAAGGAAAGCCAGTGGACATGCCCGAGGGGTACAGTTGGTTGAACACTGAGGCCCTCGAGATTAGGTCGAAAGCCGATAGGGCAGATCTGTACGTGACTCAGCTGCACGTGGGGCCCTCGGCCGAAGTGGTGGAGCCAGGTCCTGACGACGTGCTGTCCAGGGCGCCCGAGGGGTGTATCGTCATTCACGTCCTCTCGGTTTCTATGGGACTTAGGTTCCCTCTGCACCCGTTCCTCCGGGAGTACTTGAGGTTTGTTGGTTTGGTCCCCTGCCAACTTACGCCCAACAGCCACTCCTACATTGCGGGGTTCCTCCAGCTCTGCAAGTCCCGAGGGGTGAAGCCCAGCCTGGATCTATTCTTCCAGAGCTTTAATTTGTGCCGGGGGGGGGGGGGGGGGGGCACGAAAACGGCGAGGGATACGCAAACCTGCAGTAGATTGCCCGCTTCAAACTATTCTCCGATGCTCCTTCTTCCAACAAAGGATGGAGGGAACGTTGGTGCTATGTAAAGTTGGGCGAGAACCCATTCCCGAGGGAGCTGCGCGATCGATTCCGAAGGCACGAAAAGATCAGGAGTGCTGCCCTCGAGAAAGACGGCCTAAAGCTGGCCAAGTTCCCGGAGGGGAAAAATAAGAACGTGGCGATCAAAGATTGCACCCTCGAGGAGGATTTATACACCCTCGGGTTCCGGAGGTACCGCTTCATAGGGGAGACCGATGAGAAGTACCCTCCCTTCAACAAGGCCTTCGGAGGAGCCGGAGGTAGGAGCCGAGGGCTTTAGATTTTTGTACTTAGTTTTTATTTTTTTTTTTTGCTTGGATGTCATTATCCCTTCGCTTAGACCCGTCGGCCTAATCCTTTGTCGTATTTTTGCAGGTATCCCCGTGTCCATGGTGAATGTGAAGGGCCTCGCTCGCCTGAAGAAACAGGACCCGAAGGGGTCGGGACAGGGCAACCAGAAGCCCGCCACTGCCCTCTTCAAGAAAGCCGAGGGCGATGCCGCTGCCAGCAAGAGGAAGGCGGCGACCAAGGGGTCCCCCCCGGCTATCAAAAAGCCGAAGAAGGGGGACATCACCGATAAGGAGCCCCCGGTCATCATTGCTGATGAGCACCCCGCCTCCGGGGTGCATGTGGAGAAGCCGTCGGGTGGAACGCCGGCGGGGGCAGAGGAGTTGCTGCCTGAGGTCCTCCAAGTTTCGTTTCCGAGGGGTACCTCCCTGGCCAGTGGCGCTGTCGACCCGGGGGCCATCTTGAGGGGCATAACCCCTGAGACGGATAGAGCTGCCCTCGGGGCTTATAATGATGCGGCCCTCGAGGACCACATTCTCCGCTCCTCCCTCTCTGTAAGTGTTCACTTGGCTTTCTCCATCTTCTCCTTTGATCATATTGCGTGATTGCCTTTAACCGTTTTGGTTGTTGGTCTGCAGGCTTGTCTAGCCCTCGGCGAACAGGCCCGGAGGCTTCAAGAATGGCGCCTTCACAAAGCGGAGCAGGACGTCAAAATGAGGGAATGCATCCTCAAGAACAAAGAGGCGGTGAAGCTGGGGGTTTGGCTAGAAGAGGAGCTTCGGCAGATGAACCTAAGATTGGAGGCTGCAGAAAAGGGCAAAGCTGATGCTGAGGCCGCTGCTGAGGAGGCCAGGAGAGCTGCCAAAGAGGCCGAGGATTCCAAAGCGTCAGCCGTCGCCAAGGCTCAAGAGGAGGCCGTTGACGCCTTCGTCCCCGAGGGTTGGAGAGCCGAGGGGCGCAAGATGTGGGTGTCCTCGGTCGTGGAGGCATGCGTCGATGAATGGGCCGAGGGCCCTGGGTGGGAATGGATGGCCCGGAAGGGCAGAGAATATTATGAGGCCGGCGAATTTTTCACCCAGGCCCTCATCTATCGGAGGATGGCCCGGCACTTGGGCATTGAGCCAAAGGACTTCGCCCCCTCGGCATATGGCCTCCCTCCCCTGCAGTCTGATGTCCGTGAATCCCTTCCCGAAGGTGCACAACGGCCCGACCTTGAGGACACAAAGCTGAAGAAAGAGGCCGAGGACGACGCTGTTGAGGCCGGAGCGGAGGTATCGTCGAGGCCGGCTGCAGAGGACGCCCCGGGGAATGACGCTGTTGAAATTGTTGAGTGATTTTATACTTAGGAATGTCTGAACATATTTTGTAATGAACAACATTGATCCTTCGGCTTCAGCCTGTTTGTAATTTTACACTCACTTCTGTTTTTTATGAATGCATGCTGCCTCCGGGCTCTTCACATTTGAATGCGCCCTATGTTTTGAATGTATGCCTTCTCCTTTTTGAGTGTATGTCTTAGGACTTAGAATATTTTCTGATTGTAGCTTGCCCTTGGAAGCCTCCGGTAGTTGAGCACCCTCTGCTGGACATACAACCGAGGGTTCAGCAATAACCAAGACTTAGAAATTTTTTGCAAGTGTAGTATGTTAGGTAGCCTTCGGTTACTGTGGAGCCCCAACTGAAATGTTGATTAGGCCGGGGGCCAATTCTTTAGGACTTAGGAAATTTTCCTCAGTGTTGATTCCTTGTGTACTATAGCCTTTGATTGATAGGTAGCCTTCGGCTGTTAGGTCCCCTGAGATGAGGGTGGAATATGTAGAACTTAGAAAGATTTCTAAGTGTAGATTTCTCCTTGGGAGCCTTCGGGAGATGGCATCCCTTCTTGACGTATGGGTAGTTGACCGGGGGAAAAATATGTAGGACTCAGAAAATTTTCTAAGTGTAGATTTTCCCTTGGGAGCCTTCGGGAGATGGCGTCCCTTCTTGACGTATGGGTAGTTGACCGGGGGAAAAATATGTAGGACTCAGAAAATTTTCTAAGTGTAGATTTTCCCTTGGGAGCCTTCGGGAGATGACGTCCTTCTTGATGTATGAGTAGTTGACCGAGGGAAAAATATGTGGAACTCAGAAAATCTTCTAAGTGTAGATTTTCCCTCGGGAGCCTTCGGGAGATGGCATCCCTTCTTGATGCATAGCCTTCATCTGTCATATTCATTTAGCTGTAATATTGATTGGGCCGGGGGCCCCTCTTTAGGACTTAGAATTTTTTCAAGTGCTGCTTCCTTGTGTAGCCTTCGGGTGATAGGTGCCCTCTGACTCTACATTACTTTGCGAGATGCCTGTGGGCTACTCATTTAGGACTTAGAATATTTTCTAAGCGTAAATTGATGTTGAGCTTCCGGATGTAGATCCCTTGTGTTGTATGAGTCTCTGGCCGAGGGCCAAATATGTGTGGAATCCTGTTGTTGTGAAGAAAGCCAATGAGGAGTGTGTGCCCTCGGCATACAACTTTAAAAGTTGTAGAGTTTGACCCTTGTCATGGGGTAAGGGCCCTCGGTATCAGTGCGTAACAGATACCCTCGTTATTTGTTTGAATTACCGTTTAGTAGACTTTGGATAATCCAGTCTCTTCGTATTGCTGAAGCCTTCGGTGCTTGTGTGACCGGAGGTGACCAGGCAGTGGACTTAGCCGTTTCTTGATGATATTTGTTTGAGAAGTATCCTTCGGGAAATATGAGCCTTCAATTACCGGAGGTGTCCCCGTGGGGAGCCCTCGGCATGTTGTGATCTGTTGGAGTGTACTCTTTGATTTCTCGCTGAGTCTACTCCCCTTCACCCCCTTTTTTTTTGGTTGGTGGTGAAGGGAAGGCATCAAGAAACTTGGTTTCTTGGTAAGGCTGGGCCTATTAGGAGACCATCAGAATACACCAATGGCTCTCCTCCCTCGGGTTAACCTTCCGAGTTCCGAGGGGATCGAGGGTCGTTTCCTGGGCACAAGATATGGTGGTCTGTAACCCGCCTCCCCTTGGGGGATGGCGCGGAAAGCGCCTCATTTTTGAAAGTCGTCCCCTCGGCGCTAGACATAGTCCGTGGCCTGCCACACCCTTGGGGTGGTGGCGCAGGGAGCGTTTCGGTTTGGAAGTCGAATCCTGGGCATTTCTCGTGCCTGTCATACCCTTGGGGTGATGACGCGGATAGCGTTCCGTTTTTGAAAGTCGAATCCTGGGCATTTCTCATGCCTGTCATACCCTGGGGGTAGTGACGCGGAAAGCGTTTCAAGGAAGGGTTTTCATTTGCACACTAGTTGCAAATGGCCGGGGGCACTACGTGCCCCCGGCACCGATGGTGGCGCCTTCGGTATATGCGTCCTCGTGGGGTACGGCTTTTAGAAACAACACTTGGTGTTAGTTTCGATATGTAGCCCCCGGTACTTGGTACCGAGGGGTCTTCTGTAGGAACACTCAGTGTTCTCTTTCGTTGCAGTTGATGGAGGTGTCTACCCTCGGTACTTGGCACCGAAGGGTCTTCAAATGAAACACTTGGTGTTTAGATTGGAGTGTTTGGTGCCGGAGGGCCCTCGGAGGAAACACTTGGTGTTTTCCAACAGATGTTTGGAAGTTGATAGGAGAGCATATCCCTGGCACTGGGTACCGAGGGGTCTTCTTTGAAACATTTGGTGTTTTTCTTCGTTTTGATGTTGGTGATGAAGGTGTACCCTCGGCACTGAGTGCCGAAGGGTCTTCTGTAGGAACACTTGGTGTTCTCATCTTTTCGATATTGATGTTGAAGGTGGGGATGTACCCTCGGTACTGGGTACCGAGGGGTCTTGTTTGAAAACACATGGTGTTCTCCTGTTGTTGTAGGTGTTGACGGTGTCCGCCCTCGGCACTTAGTTCTGGAGGGGGTTCTCCTTGTGGTGAGGCCTGGGGCCTGTAGTCAGTATGAGGGCGTTGTGTCTTGAATGTGTCTTCATTCCTCAAAAGTGGAGGCCTTGGGCCATAGGATAGTACATTCATAAGTTATGAGGGCTTTGCCGCTCTTACATTATTGGTAAAATTTAACTAAATGGTGTACATTCCAGTGCCTAGGGACCTCTTTCCCGTTGGGGCGTTTGAGCTTGTAAGTCCCATGTTTGATGACGGCTGCTATGATGTAGGGGCCTTCGAATTTTGGTGCCATTTTTCCTCCCTCGATTGGTTGGCTGGCTTCCCTCCTCCGGAGGACATAGTCCCCCACTTGGAATTCTCTGGTGCGAACTTTGGCGTTGATGTAGCTTTTGACTTGCCTTCGGTAATTTTCTGCCCGGATGAAGGCCTGCTCCCGGCGTTCTGAAATGAGGTGGAGGTCGAGGGCCATGTTGCTGTCGTTGACCTCGGGGTCATATTGGATCACCCTTCGGGTGGGAAGGGTGACTTCCGTAGGAGCTTTGGCTTCAAAACCGTAGCAGAGGGAGAAGGGTGTTTCACCTGTTGCGCGCCGAGGGGTGGTGCGGTAGGCCCACAGGATATTGTGGAGTTCTTCCACCCAACCACCGCCCTCGGCCTCTAGCTTCTTTTTGAGGCCCTCGAGCAAGGTCCGGTTGGCATTCTCTACTTGCCAGAAGGGGGCTGCCTCAAATTGTGTCCCATTGTCGGAGATGATCTGCTGGGGGACGCCAAACCTTGTGAGGATGTTCTTGAGGACGAAGTGACGGCACTTCGCCTCTGTGATACTAGCGAGGGGCTCAGCCTCCACCCACTTGGTAAAGTTGTCGATGGCCACAATGATGTACCTGTTGTTGGAGGTGCCCCTCGGCAGAGGGCCCACAAGGTCTATCCCCCATCGAGAAAAAGGGACAGATGTGCTGATGGGGGCATAGTTGACCGCTGGCCTGCCGGGGGCTTTCTGGAAATGTTGACATGCGGTGCACCTCCGAGCAAGGTCAGCACAATCTCTGGCCATGGTTGGCCAGAAGTAGCCCTGGAGAATGAGCCTTCGGGACATGGAGAAGGGTCCCTGGTGAGCTGAGCAAGTGCCACTGTGCACTTCCTCCATTGCGACCTCGGCCTCATCTTGATGAAGGCATCGAAGTAACGTGCCATTGTAAGATCGTTTGTAGAGCCTTCCATCTTCGATGGTGTAGCTAGGAGCCCTTAGCTTCGCCAGTTTAGCGCGGGTCTCATTCTCGGGTAGCTGCCCTGTGGAGATGAAGGCGGTGATATCTGAGATCCAATCCTCTTGGCGTTGTTGTATGTTCATAACGGGGCTTGCATGGATACTTGAGAGGCTGAGTTCCTCAATTTTGGCAATTTTGGAGATGTGCTCGGGTGAGTCGGCCGAGAGCTTAGATAATATGTCGGCCTCGGAGTTCTGAGCCCTCGGTATTTGAGTGAGAGAGTGTGCCTCAAATACCTTGAGCAACTCCTTGGCCGCTTCCTTGTATTGTTTCATTCTTCCCTCCTTGGCCTCATATTCCTCGGAGATTTGGCCAACGACCAACTTGGAGTCGCATTTGATGTGGATCTGCCGAGCCCTCATGTTGGCAGCCAGTCGAAGGCCACATAGGAGGGCCTCATATTCGGCCTCGTTGTTGGAGACTTTGAAGGAGAAGCGGATTGCATAGTAGGCTCTGAAGCCCTCGGGAGTAATGAGGACTACCCCTCCCCCGCATGCTTTGGTCGCGGAGGAGCCGTCGGTGTAGAGGGTCCACCAGTCGTCCGAGGTAGCCGAGGGCTCCCCGTCCGTGGCTGCCCTTGCGGTACATTCCGTCACAAAGTCCGCCAGGGCTTGGCTCTTGATGGCAGGCCTTGGACGGATGTCAATGTTGTACTGGCTCAAGAAGATAGCCCACTTCACCATGCGGGAGGAGCTGGTGGGGCTCCTCATGAGGGCGCCGAGGGGTTGATGAGTGAGGACCTGAACCGGGTGAGCCTGAAAGTAGTGGCCCAACTTCTTGACAGTCCAAACGATGGCTAACTCCGTTTTTTCCACAGGGGAGTACCTGAGCTCGGCCTCCCTTAGGGTCTTGCTAACGTAGAAGATGGCATGTTGGATGCCGTCTTCCTCCCGAATGAGCACAGAGCTGATGGACGCCGGGCTGACCCCAAGGTAGAGGTAGAGGGTCTCCCCTACCTTGGGTTTGGAGAGCACATGAGGTGAAGATAGATATCGTTTGAGCTCGTCGAAAGCCCCCTGGCATTCTGGAGTCCATAGAAAGCCGGCCGTCTTCCTCATGATCTGGAAGAAGGGTAGAGACTTCTCCGCTGATTTAGATAGAAAGCGGTTGAGGGCTGCCAGGCGGCCCGTCAACCGTTGAACTTCCTTCACACTGCGTGGGGGCTCCATGTTGATGATGGCCTGGATCTTCTCGGGATTGGCCTCAATACCCCTTCGGCTCACCATGTAGCCCAAGAACTTGCCCCCTTGGACGCCGAAGGTGCACTTCTTCGGGTTTAGCCGAAGGTTGAACTTTTGCATGATGGCGAAGATTTCCCGGAGGTCGTCAGCATGGCTGGAAGATTGTT